TTAATACAACTATGGGTATATATTCAATTTTTGACTTTATATGCGATCGCGAATATTTCCTACCTTTTTTGGGGGGAATGGAAATGGTGCTGTAGACAGATTCATTTTTCCCTTTGGTATATTGAATCTATGTCGACGTGAAAAGACAGAATAATTCCAAATACTTGTAAAAAAAATGAGAAAACCATAATTAAGAGAATTAAAATACGAAAAAGTGATGATGGGAGGCGGTGAATTGAAGCGAAATCACCACGCGTAAGTGAATGTCTCGTTAGCGAGATTAAAAACGGTCAAGTGCATGACTACGGTTTATTATAACTTTTTATAATGTGATGATGCAAAGCAATGTTGAAAATACGAGGTTGAAATCACGGCATGACAGCTCTAGCTCACTGTAGGCCTAATTAAATGATGAGATGTGAAGAAAAAAGGAGAAAAAAAATGATATACATATTGTACTCTAAAATTATCAGTGTGAGAGTGACAATGGACGATGAAAATTTGCAATGGAAAAAAATTTGCAAAAAATTGAAAAAAAATAAAATAAAATAAAATAAAAGCTAAAAAAAATCGAAGAAAGAGGGTGCGAAACTGCGTGAATGGCTGTAATTGAATGAAGGTGAGGAGAGGCGAAGAACGGGAGATACACTCAATTTATCGAAAATTAACTCCGATGTGAGTCACAACGATCAACATACAAACAAAACCCGACAGCAAAACTCTTATTCCTCTAAACTCAACAGACAAAACAACAGGAAAACGCAAAATAATGAACATTGATAGATTTAATTGAAGAGAAACGTGAAAAATATTCTATAATCTTCTGTACATGTTTTAATTATTCCAATTATTAATTATTATCATACTTATAATGAGCTATTACTTAATTAACGGATGAATTAATTGAATATCTATGAAAAAAAAAACTATATTTAAACGAAAAAACGTGGTAGCTAGTCTGTCAATGGGTGTATAAAAAAAATATTTAATTCCAATGTATCCTTAATAGTTTGACACACGTGCGTCGGGGCGCGACTACGGTTTTTCGGGGCGATTTTACAGTGAATAATTGCGAGAGCAAAAATATATATTGGAAATTAAAGTAAGAGTAAATGTAAACTCGAAGGCTTCCGGTTAATCACCCCAATACGTTAATTCGCCAGTCGCTCCAACGTTTTCATTTGATTTTCAATGTCGTGAGGGAGCTGAATGATTATTTGATTTGACGAGGTAAATCATACCGCTGTAATGCTCGATACATTCCGATTGTAATGAACATTCCTATGAACATTCCCACCTTTAACGAGAACAGCAGTTTACAGCGTCATGAATAAACGAAACTAAAATAACTGATAATAATCATACCAATAACGATTGTATATAAAGCGTACGGATTTATAGGTACAATTTTGTTTGTTTTATTGACTCCGCATGCAATGCAGATGTGAAACTCACTAGCAGGATTATTGTAATTTCAGTATTAATACGAAGAAATGCCCGATAATAGTCGCAAGCTGAGGGAAATATTGGAAAGACGATGATTCCACTTGACTAGATACAATAGCTGGAGAATCAGTGAAAGACTCTCAGTGGTGAGTGAAAATATAGAATGAAGAGAGAGGAATAAAGTGAGACGTGGGAAAAATGAGTAACGGAAAAAATTAAAAAAAAAAACAGATGGCATATTACGCGGATATAAAACAAATATATTTTGTAATGGGTTTATACGTAAGATTATTATTGTGTAATGATAAATTAATCGTATTGTGGTAAAAAAAAAAAACTATGAACTACGCTGACCAGAATTTTAAATAAGTGAAGAAAGGCTTTAGGGTGATAGTGAAATGGAAAATGAAAATTTTGCGTTACTTGAACTTCGCTGGACGAAAGAAAAACTACTCCGTCATGCGTGCTTTTTCGTTATATTTTTCTTTCGTCATTATTCCGATGGCATAATCTTCGGCGTTCTTGATGAATTGAATTAGCGGATTAAATAGTCAAGTCGTTAATCGTTGAGAGGAACATAAACTTGTTATAATGAACTTAATCTGCCGTCTTTGCCAACGAATCCAATCGCATAGGCTTCCAATTGAAATGAGAAAAAAATAACGCGATTAGAGAATCATGCGTGTGCACAAATGATATTATAATTTTATAAATCTCCCGTGAGAAAAATACAGATTGGCTTTCATTTCACCAAGAATGCAAGTGAAGTAATTGGATCAAAAGTGAAAAAAAAAATTATGATCAGTGAACAATGATAGAGGAGAATAAATCAGTCCCTTAAAGTGAGTTGAGCCAAACAACTATGAAATTAAATGAGTAACGAGAGTTGGTCCGCACCCCGAATATCCCTGGTCACAACCCCTCCGCAGTGTTGAGATCGATCTGAGTATGCCCATCACATTGAGAGCATAATTTAACGAGAGATATACACGAGAACCATGAACATTTCGAAACCCGATGTGGTCATTGACGGGAATAACGAGAGCATAATGCCCAACACGATATAGAGTGCTGAAGTGTGATTGAATGAAGGCTTCCCCTTGCAGTGCGACAAGGATATAAAATTCATCAAGTAATACGAAAGAGTGAATTACGACTACAACGTGCATGATGTACCCCTAATTATGCGCCAGGATTTACAAAAAAATGCTGAATACAAAAAGAGAAAATAAATCACTACTCAGTCACATTAGGCTATATCCGTGAATAAACAAAACGCACACGTCTTTCCGAAAAAATTGATAAATTCCTGAACACAAAAGACGTACAAAGTAGACACTACGCAGACGCATACAAAAATTACCATCAAACAACAGTGACACGATAACAAAAACCTTTAAACTGAATTGAAACAGATCATCACATTGTTGACATACATTGCGATCCATGATTATTACTATTTACAATATAATTATTATCTTGCATTGTCTAGTCATATGTTATTATTGTATAACTAATGATATTAATTATTAATTATTAACCTGTACTACCTAGTTGCATTATGTGTTGCGTAAAAAAAACAAAAGAAATGAACTGGGAAGAGAATTCTGAGAGCGCTAGAAGTACGAGAGAGATTATTAAAAATGCAAAAAATCAGAGTTTAGCTGATGAAATAGTAATCGCGCAAAGTTGCACACGTTTCCAGCAGAAAATATTAACGAGAGATTAAGGAAATGGGAATGAAAATCATCTGAGTGAGAGAGAAAGTGTGAAAGATAGATTAATATGGAGTACTCCAACTTTTGGGACGTGGTCCGCTGATGATTCTCATCATGTTGTTCTCGTCATCGCAGTCGAAGGTTGATGTTGTCTCCAGTGAACAAAAAAAAACGTTAAAATTGTAATAGCAATAATCTAACGGCGTAAATTCCTGCAAATCGACTGCTTTGATTGCATGAGATTGTCAGCGAGCTGTGACTTTTGGAAAAAAAAATCATAGTTCAATATTGTCACCTTAGCGCGCTCGAATTCATCTCCAATTTAAATTAGTGGTCATTATTTTTGACACTCCTTTATCTCCCCCATTCTTTTCTTCTTATTAGTTTGATTAATCGTCTCTTTTTAATTGAATTAGGACGGAAAATAAAGTTTAGGAAATGAATAATGATGGATAAATAAATGATAATTGAAACGAACGGAGTGCACAAAAGGAAGGGAAAATTGACGAGGAACGAGCGCGCAAAGGGCGAAGTAAGGAGTATTAAATATATGCGGGGGCCGCGGAGAGGAGGGAACCTCTTCCTTATATCGTCCGCATAGAAATGAATTATATATTTATCAATGTGACGTCCAACGTGAATAACATACGGGCACAAACGGCGCCCATGGATACTTTGAACAATTATATCTTCATTTGGCAATGATTTATCGCGCCGTTATCTTGGCTATAACAGTGATCTCCAGTGATCACTGGGTAAATCACTTTATCTTTTCTTCAAAATCTTTGTTCTCTCCCATTCCTCTCAGAAACAACAGATACAACAAAGTGGAATGGTTATTTGCGATTCACACACGTGCGAGTCGTCCATTTGTGAATAAAAGGAAACATTAGAGAGAGACTTTAGATATGCGTGATATATGGAGAAAAGAAGCACAAAAATATGAAATCAACAATATAGTCCTCGTTTAAAAAACACCTTCCTTGTGTAACTGTACCGCAAATATCCCTCCCTCCCTCCCTCCCGAGGAGAGCTCACGGGCCCTATTTGCAATATTTGTACTTTTCCATGTTGAAACCTCGATATACAATAAATTATATTAACAAACTTTCATATAGATGAGTTATTATTTATTCGTACACCTACAATCAAAAAATAAAACCTGGAATTGACCATTTGAAGATTGAGGTAAAAAACTTTTTTTTTTAAAAAGAGTTTTAGTTGTGTTGCAAAAAAAATTATTCTCTCTACAGGCAAGATGTGTAGTTTCTAGCACTATTTCTTCAATATTCGATACTCTGATACGTATTTTGCTCCAGAAAAATGCTCGTTTCATTCAATAATCGCAGATAAGAAATTAATTCTTAAATAACTTAATAATGATGCTGTGCTCAAATTTAAAGGAAACAATTTATTTTTTGTTAATTTTTGACTTACGATTTTTTAAAATTGAAACAAGATTTATTTGAGAACTTGTGCGTTTTCGATTCGCTGAACCAAATAAAACTCTTTACTTGACAGTTTTTATTCTTCTCAAATAAAATTATTTGCTCAAATGAAGGTTTATTTTGCAACGATTTCATTTCGAAATAAAAAAGCTAATAAGGTCTGTATTTGGATCAAGAAACATTTTACAAAATTTGTGTTTTCAACAATTCGTTTGATGTGTTTAAAATCGCAAATAAAAATAAAGTCAACCAAAATGTTCTCATAAATCCCCTTGTTTGATTTAAATAAAGTATTGTTAATTCAAATAAACCATTTCTCTGAATGTGGAGTGCCACCTGCTATTCGTATTTTCATCATAACTAAAAGGGTATAAAGAGTGCAACACAGTTGTGAATTATGGGTTTATCTTTTATTTCTTTATCTCCATAAATTAATAGGAGTTACACGGTACATCTAACGAATAATAAATCACGATTATGAATTTTACAACCACATACTATCATTCGCGCAATTCATTATTCATAGTTTAATATCTATTCCAATTCGATAATATGTACAATTTCACCTATAATACACGAGATTCTTTTTTTTCACCATTTCTCCCATTCCGATTATTTTCTACTGTTATATTGTCACGTTTTCATTGCTGAAATTGATATTGCGACAGGTTGAACAAGCATCAATGTGTGTATCACTTTCTTCATTAATGCTCAGTTTATTGTTAATTTGTATTTCGCAATGATATGACAAAATTTCCCTTTATTGAAATAAGTTCTCATAATATCAGACTTTAACGAGAGTCTACGTGATGTACATTTACATATGATAAGTCGTTTATCTCTTGGAACACACATTTGTTTTATTCTCATTTGACAACATTATTATCGTTTACCATTATGAATTTTCCATTGGTGTATTAACACAAAACACATTTTGGAAACAATGATTAGATGAATTTTTTAGGCGATCGCGTCAAATTGTCTCTTTGCATGAGTCTACCTCGTCATTCATACATTGTTAATTAATTATTGTGAGTTGTATCAACATGCAGACTTCATTAACGATCGATTTTCACGATTAATTGATAAATTCGATGCTTTCAATTCTAAAGATCTAGTATTTCTGACGTGAAGGTTGTTTTTTATCAATCTGAAAATGTGTTGAACACGAAATTTCTTTGAGAACATGTGCTATCTAGACTCTCCATGGTGTTTCGATCAGTCTTCAATCACGATGTTATCACAGCATTTTAATAATTATTCCGTGGAAAATTTCTACTTCAAACTTCCCTCATGCACTTGCCAATAGCTCCAACAAGTTGACGCGATCATTAGCTGTTAATTACTGAGTTTGTTTGAGAGAAAGTTTACACAAGCGATACGAAATTTTGTCTCGTGGATGCATTCAATGTTTTCAGTTATGTATTCTTCTCAATATTTTACACAAGATTCTCTTAAACTTAAATCCTACAAAAAACAAAATGTGAGGCTACATTGACAAGATAGACTAGAGTTCAAGGTTTTGGACGGTTGAAATTCATTCCAGGGATATTTGAGACGTTGAGTCGATGAAAAAAAAATCATCAATTGCTTATATTTTCCAAATAAATCCCAACCGTTTACTTCATATTCTCTATAAATGTAAATTTTCTCGTCATTTTAATGATTATTTGTATAAATTATTAATTCCCATTAAACTACCTCAATTTCTCTCGTGTTTTAATGGTCAACTTTAACTACCTCGTATTACAAATACTCAGGTATATTTACATAATGCTTTTTCATTTTAATACAATTCAAGAGGAGCATAGTCTGACACTACATCATCAGTACAATTGATTACGTTTTAAAATTCATCATGTTCAAAGATAAAATCTAGGTAGTAATGAATGAGAAATAAATTCCGTTACTCCCTGAAGTAAAATATCTACAAAATCAAACAAGAATTTCCGGAAGTTTCCTCTTCATTCTGTTCATTTTATTTTATAAATAACATTATAAAAGAGCCGGACTCCAGTTAGGCCAATAAATACTATAAACGTGCCTTCGAAAAGAGAATAATAATTTAAAAAAAGAAGAAAGGAATGCTGATATATCTCCTACATAATCGGATCCTGCCCAATTACAATAATTTCCTTCATTCCCGTTTGTTATTAACACACGATCAATATAAAATTATTGAGAAAAACGAATATTGAATGTCTCGCCTAGGGCTTACCGAATAAATCTTGTAATATGAATTTATCGTCCGCTGTAGTGTGATGTTTCTCTCAGTGATGTACGTAGAATTCTAGACCTCGGTGGTACGACTGTATGGAGTTGCTTCCTCCGTTTGTGATAGTTTACGTTCACGTTTAGCGAATAGGCCCCCTAAAAAAGATGGCTGCTGTACAATTCCCTTACCACCACCGGGAATTGTAGCACCTGGATGTACAGGATGAATTTGACCAGAATGCTTAACTCCCTGGCTCATTGAACTCGCTGAAGTTGATTGAAATGAAATTGACATACCGCTGTCCAGTGAGCCAACACTCCCTCGTCTCTGTGGTTTCTCCCCAGCAACTGCAATTTAATAATCATTAATTAAATTTTTGTTACTTTCGCAAGGTAACGAGAATATTTGAGAAAAGAATTATAAAATGGGAAATTAATTAAATTATTTGCTTCATATAGATAAAGCAGGTGTTATTAATTTTTTCTGGTCTGATTTTCCCACGAAAAATAGCTATTTTATATTTTAAAACGGAATAATTGAAAGGAAAACGAATTAAAACTCTTCATAAATTGATAAAAAATTAATTTGTTTTTTCGGTTGTGATTTTTCCACAAAAAATAGCTCAATTCAGCTGGAAAATACTTAAGAAGGGGAGATAAAAGTAAAATATACTCACATTGTTCATGAATATCGAGCAACGAGTTGCTAAGAGCAGATCTCTTCAACTGTGGATCCAAATCGGCGACCTCTGTTCTCTCAGAGCAAGGCCCAGGGCATGGGCACACTTCAACATCAGCTACCCCTGAATCCCTGTTCTCAGACCCCCCGCGAGCGCCCCTGCTACTCTTCTGTCTCTCCAACTCGGTCTCAATGCGAAGAGTTTCCATCTCATCCATCTCACTTATGGACTCCCGCAGGTCCTCAGCGAATTTGCATCGATCATGTTCATTTCGGGCATTGAATGTGACTAGTACTTTGCCATCGACACGTTGAGACAATCTGATACCGTATGGATAGTCTGAAATCATGCGAATGGTAGAAATGAATATTACGTCTCTGCTGAGCATGTTTAAGATCATATCAACGTTATTTTTGTCTTCATTTAATCATGGATTAAGTATTTACGTCTTTACTAAACTATATAATTGGTAATAATCATTGAATCTTCTGAAACTTCAATTATTATTGATCATTACATAATTCAATAAAGACAGAAATAATGTTTCTAAACTCTAGCGCGTGCAGGTATATGAAAGTTTTGTTCTGTTTCTTCAAAAAAATTGAACAATTAAGAAATTTTGCTGTGAAATTTCCAGTGGACTTTTTGAAAATGTTCATCACATTTTCTCTCCACTGCAATTTCAAGCAATTTCGTAATGAACAATTCTAAATTTTATGAAAAAATCAATGGAAACTGTCAATTCTAGTTCAATTATTAATGCATTGGAAATTCAAGTACATTTGGGGATTCTCGTCTCCCTGCTAGTAAAAAATTTGGAATTCCATTAAATTTTCAATGAAACTTAAAATTTTATTCTTTTCCTATCAGTGCATGCAAAATCTTTCGCTCCCCAACAATTGTTATTGTGCTGAGATTCACTTTTTACTGACTCAGTCAATGAACGAATAAATAAAATCCTCAACAATCAGATTTAATCATTATAATATTCTGTCATCAACTTACGTGGAACATCAAAGAGTGTAACCACCATGCCACACAAAGGAAAGCTCTGCCTAAAGGTATACGTAACACTGCTCTTCTTCTTGCTGAGAATCTTGGTAACAACCAAAAGATCGTTAAAAAGAAAGACCTCCCGCTGATGCACTCCAGGCCTCTCCTTCTTATGAATATCCGGTATTTCATAGAGCCTGCAGTAGCAAACAAGTCGCCTATGCGGCAGAGCCATATTCGGTTTCTTCCCAACAATAGTAGCCTGCACCTTCATAACTTGCGTGACATGATCCGAGCCCGGTTTAAACTCATTAGCCTTAACCCTCTCATAAATTCCAATGAGTATATCGCGATCAATGTCCCCACAGTCGTCAATGCCCCTCAAATTCTTAATGAAATCCTCAACCCTCATTCGCCTCTCGGGTTTGAGATTCGGTGTGTGAAGATCTGTATTGAGCATGATAATAGCGAATGCTAAAACAAAGACAGTGTCTGGCGATCTGAGCCTAGCAACAACGTCTGGATTACAGTGACAATAGCGTTGACTGAATACTTCCATCAGACGTTCAATCTTCTGCGCCTCCCCTGGCATTCGGAAATATGCCTGGAACTTTCTCAAAGCAACATCCACCTGCATTCCAGCGAGATCTAATTCGTGGGAGAAGCACTCCAAGACTGCCATGTTAAAGGTATTCTGGAGATTGCCAAGATACTCGCCGATCATCTGCTTTGACAGGCCTTTTCTGCTGATCAGGAATCTGGCAACTCCCTGCGGACTGTTCTCCAAAAATCCACGTCTTATGAGGTACGTTATTCCCCTCTCGGGCTTCTTATTGAACAGATTCAATCCAACGCGATACTGTCGCTTTCGCACTGTCTCAGATACTTTGTAACTGGTCTGAGGAATAGTCTCTGTGTGATCAATCATGGGCAATTGATAGCCAGATCCAGCGTGGGAATTACTCAGATCCTTTCCACTGTTTATTAGACTTGTGTTTTCTGTTGTGTGACATTCCTGGTGTTCAGGAGAACTGGAGATCCCTTTATGCTTCCAAATTGGCGAACCTCGCTGCACATCTCCCTCTGAACTCTCGCAATTGGTCGAGTCACTACCTGAACTTTGTACAGAACTCAAACTTCCATTTTCCACACTTTTACTCAGACCGTTGTGGCGCTGCTCCATCGATCTCGAGGTTATTGATGTCGTTCTCTTGGGCACCTCGGGGGGCACCTTCTTGGTGGATCCTCGTGAACGCCCACCGGATCCTAATTGCGAACTATTGCCCCAACTGTGTGCCAAGGGGGCTTGAAGATTGTGAGGAGTTGAAGGGGATGTGCACGGCGTTCTGTGGAGATCACGGGGTGGAGTTTCTTGACGAAGTCCGCATAGAGTTTCCTGGAAATTAATTTAATTAACGTTATTATGGATGCAGTAGATTTTGACGGGATAATGTTAATGATCTTATTCATTTTCATATATTTTTTCTCATAATTTCCCGGGACACTTACTGTGAATTTTTATCACTCATTGTGAAAATTCGAAATGCTATTTTAACAAATCAATGGAAATTTCAAATTTCCGGTCAATTATCTCACGAAACTTGTATACTAAATGTATTTTTGAAATTTCAGTGATGTGCCAATTTTATTCTAACAGTGTCATCCACCGATTATCCATTCTGTATGATTGCATTAAAGAATTATTTATTATTCACTCTGCCCATAAATAGCACAATTTTCTCCAATTTCATTTCGTTTTACAGTCTCTTCTCCGAAAGTGATAAATGTCTCGAGAAAGATAAAGTGCTTTCATAAATTCTCGCGATAATTTCAATGAATTGTTCAGTAATCGTACCTGAGGATTGTAATAATGAATGCTTGAGCCACTCTCTTGCGAGCTAGTATCCCAGCAAGGACTAGGTGGTGGTTGATGTCTAGCACACGGGCTCGGTGTTAGTGACGGTGTGTGCCTCCCACTCTGATGTAGATTATACCCTGGATGTTGATGTCCAGCATTAACTTGATGGCCCATAACTTGCACCTCACATCTGCCACTCAGGCTCCTTGGCATTCCTGAATTTTCAACGTGTCTCCTCTCTCTCAGTGACATACTTCTTATGGGCATAGGCCGATTAGCCGACTGCGGTGATTGTTGAATGTAAACTTGATTGTGGTATACCATCCTCTCGTGGTCACCCGGCCGGTCAGCACTCTCTTGGATCGTTCTACTTAACCGTTTTTCCGCTTTGGCCATTGCTGTTATAGCAGCAAATTTCTTCAGTAATGTGTACCTTCTGAATGCACGTTGAATCGTGAGTGCTGCGTTTCTTGCTTTAACGCCTCCGTACTTTCGTTCGAGCATCTCGATCTGCTTGTCAAGGAGATCCTGGGAGAGCTCGTAACTGCTGTGTGTCAAGAAATGGGAGGGAAATTAACAGATAATCGGCAAGTTTCGATGAGACAACTCCGATATTTTCGGAGATGATAGTGACAAAGCTTCGATGGGATTCAATCACTCCAGTAGGAGTTCTGGGGTGCAATCGAACGCGGACGGAATTAATGAAACAGTTTAATGAATTTTCTAGGTGATTAAGGATCTGCAATATATTTGAATCAATTCATGGATTTGTAAATTTGTGTCATGTAAATTATATTTGGAATCGAGAATTCCGAATGAGACAACTCTGACATTTTTGGAGATATAATAACAAAACATCGATGGGATTTCATCGCTTCGTCAGGAGTTCTCGGATGCAATCGAGCGTAGATGGAATTGGTGAAACAGTTTAATGAACTTTTAAAGTGATTAAGGATGTCCAATACAGTTTCAGACATTTTTAATCATCAAATTAGGCCAGTGAATTGCACGAGGAAAATTTGAACCAATTCAGGAATTTAGCACCATTTGAATTATATTTTGCAATCGAGAATTTCGAATGAGACAACTCTGACATTTTTGCAGATATAATACCTAAACATCGATGGGATTCAATCGCTTCGTCAGGAGTTCTCGGATGCAATCGAGCGTAGATGGAATTGATGAAACAGTTTAATGAATTTTCGAAGTGATTAAGGATCTCGATTGAATTGCGTGAGGTAATCTGAACCAATTCATGAATACAGCGTCATTTAAATTAAATTTTGCAACATTTTTTGTTTTCTGAAGAATAAATAATAATTAAAATTCTTTAAACTTTTGAAATACTTTTTGGGGTAAAAAATTGACTGTATATTGATGATTTATGAAAAATACCGTCAACTTTAAAAATTGCAATTTTCCTATTATTTTATTATTTCTTCTCTTTTCTTTTGAAGATTTTTAAAACGTTTCCTAACGGTCCAAAGTGAAAACTCAGATTTAGAGGTCCAAAGTTTGAATGATAAAATTAGTTGGGGAGTTTATCGGGCAAATCAAGTGGAAGCGTTGATATTCAGTTAAAAATGATTGAAGTACTTAGAAAGCGTTAATGCCCCCGAAACAGTGCCAAATAATTGAAACTTACGCAGTTTGGAGTCTGCAGCGCTTGTGGACATCGCCATTTCTAATTGTCCCTTTTTTGTGATGCGCCTGCTGGTAACCTGACTGAGGCTGTCCACCGTAAGCTTGTACCATTGTGCCATAACTCTGTGGTTGATTATACGTGTGGGGGTAAATTTGCACTGTCTGCGCTGCTGGATACGCTGCGTAATTTTGACCCTGTATGTACGACTGGCCTGTTATGTAGGAGGTCGATAGAGAAGTCTGACTTCCCGATGAGTAAACCCCGTGTGTACTGCCTCCATGGTTCTGACCCAGGCTGACATTGTGGTTCTGACGATCCATCTTCTGGGGGAAACTGAAATCACACAATTTTTTTTTTTTAGTACATGACGAATTTCGTAATGTTGTTAATCTAGAGAGCATTCTCAACCCAATAGACGTAATACATTCGATTTTAAAATTATATTTTTCGACATACAGCTGGTGATCTCCCAATAATTCAACTCTTAAATAAATATCAAGTGGAGGTGACAGAAATTTCAAAACAAGAAATTTGATTTCTGACCCTTGAGACACCTGGGCCAATGGCTAGATCCGAGATTATCCGCGGATAATTATAATTTATGATTGAAAAAAAAAATACCGCAACTCGGATTTGAACCGAGAAGCTCAAGATTTTCAACTTACATTCGACGATCCACAGTGATGTTAATCGCGATTTAACGCGAAGTGTGAAACTCCGCGTTAGTGTAGCGCGTTAACTGAATCTCCTGTGGAAAATTACGATACCGTCACTTAAATTTTCTGAATCGATTCCGTAATCGATGAGCGAATTGTGAGTTCCGTAATTTTTATCTGAATCTCCTGTGGAAAATTACGATACCGTCACTTAAATTTTCTGAATCGATTCCGTAATCGATGAGCGAATTGTGAGTTCCGTAATTTTTATCTGAATCTCCTGTGGAAAATTACGATACCGTCACTTAAATTTTCTGAATCGATTCCGTAATCGATGAGCGAATTGTGAGTTCCGTAATTTTTATCTGAATCTCCTGTGGAAAATTACGATACCGTCACTTAAATTTTCTGAATCGATTCCGTAATCGATGAGCGAATTGTGAGTTCCGTAATTTTTATCTGAATCTCCTGTGGAAAATTACGATACCGTCACTTAAATTTTCTGAATCGATTCCGTAATCGATGAGCGAATTGTGAGTTCCGTAATTTTTATCTGAATCTCCTGTGGAAAATTACGATACCGTCACTTAAATTTTCTGAATCGATTCCGTAATCGATGAGCGAATTGTGAGTTCCGTAATTTTTATCTGAATCTCCTGTGGAAAATTACGATACCGTCACTTAAATTTTCTGAATCGATTCCGTAATCGATGAGCGAATTGTGAGTTCCGTAATTTTTATCTGAATCTCCTGTGGAAAATTACGATACCGTCACTTAAATTTTCTGAATCGATTCCGTAATCGATGAGCGAATTGTGAGTTCCGTAATTTTTATCTGAATCTCCTGTGGAAAATTACGATACCGTCACTTAAATTTTCTGAATCGATTCCGTAATCGATGAGCGAATTGTGAGTTCCGTAATTTTTATCTGAATCTCCTGTGGAAAATTACGATACCGTCACTTAAATTTTCTGAATCGATTCCGTAATCGATGAGCGAATTGTGAGTTCCGTAATTTTTATCTGAATCTCCTGTGGAAAATTACGATACCGTCACTTAAATTTTCTGAATCGATTCCGTAATCGATGAGCGAATTGTGAGTTCCGTAATTTTTACTGAACATTTCTCTCCGTGCAATTTCACCACTGCGGTTAGCCAATTCCGAAAAATTGCGAATCCACGGCGAATCGAACCCGGTCGCTCACATGACAAACTAGCACGCTAGCCCACTTGCTTGTTGCAAATGATTCCACAATTCTACACTTTTAATTTACTAAGAATAAATATAGAAAAAGATAAAAACGAGGAAAATTAAAGATAAAAAATCCAATGCGGGAATTTTACATGAAAATTTTGGTCATTTGTTTATCTCAAGCATATTTTTTTTTGTCATAAATCAATTCATTTTCAGCGAATATCTCCATCAATTGGCTCGTTGTATATAAATCCGTGCATTTCCCCCGCCGGTTTAATTAATAATGTGAGAAGATCGGTGGTGATATGAAAACGAATTTGGCACGGCGTTCAATATCCGGACGGCGAGGTTGGTTGAACTCGGTGATTATCAAACATAATTTCCTGGCGGGGCCTATTTGTGTTGTGTACATCAATATATAGCCTAGAGTCTTTTCCGCGATCAGACAAGGGGCGGGGGGCGCTCTACCGACATTGCCGCCTGTGCGGCTGGCAGGTCTGTCAACTACGCCTGAATGAAAAATCGATACGAAAATAATAAAACAAAAATTATCATTCGGGAGATTAATTCAATATCATCTACTCCCCCGAGGTTAAATGTTAATTGAGAAAAAGCTTGTTTTGCCAATTGTATCCGATTATTCTATTCACTTGATAATTCGTTCTCAATTCTTCGAGTGTTTGCATTGTTATAGAATACATTGTTCTGCATCACGGGTGGTTTTCGAAAGGGCTCGGCAATTAAATTCCGACTTGTTCATGTTACGCACAATGTTACCACGCCAGGTGGTCGAAATAGGTGTAGCCACAGGCTACTGCCTACAATGAATCATTGTATGAGTCAGAATAATTCACCCCAAACAGTATCATCCGGATAGGGAGGTGTTTATTTTTTGCGGAGAACATGTGGAGAAAATTTTTCATAATAATTCACTTACCTTGGGGGCATTTCCACTAAAACTCCGGCAAAAGATTCATATTAGTTGAATATTCCCCAATATTATCGTAATTTATATCAAAGTTGAAACATTTTTTACTAGAGTATTAAATTATTGCTCATTTTACTCATTCATTTTTTAATTTAATAATAAAAACGAGTGAGTATCTTGTTATTCTTATCTCCCAATAATGATGAAAAATATAGTACAAACAGTAAGAATCGATACCGATCCCTGATGGAAACTGTGAATTTCAGCCTAATCACGCCGTGAACACGATATAAATTAGAAAAATTAATGTGAAATGTGGCATTGAATCATCATTCGAATGAGAAGCAGTGATTTTTTTACGAAGAACATGTCACAAGATGAACAAAACCAAAAATTTACTGAGCTTGGAGAAGTTTTTGTTAAAAGAATAGTAAAAAATGCAATATATGAGATCAAAATTCCCCAAAATTACTGTATTTTTTACTAGAATTTTCGTTTAAATTACTGGAAAGTCCATGCACTGCACCATACAGCAATTGTTTCCGCGCAGAAAACGAAAATAAAACATACCCCGTTAAAAATCCTGAGATACAGATAATCATCTTCGCAATCAGAAGTTCCAAACAGCGATAAATCACTCCTAGACAATCTCCTCCCGCCTTCACGCTAATTCTCAATACAAAAATATCCACTCGATCTCTGTCCAACTAATCAATACAAAAGACAATTAAATTTCAAAAAATTTCATGCTGAATATTTCAAGCCAGTTGAATAATATAACTTCACAGCCCGAGAGGACGCGTCCGGAGGATACCGTGGCTGGTGGTTGACTGAATTTGAAGGGCTCAGGGGGAGCAGCTGCTTCCGAAAAGAATCCTCTTGCGTCTCAGTGGCAGGAGTCCAATTGCCGTAAAGGTGGGCAGGAGGAAATGCGAAGAGGAGGTGGATTCAACGGAGTATAAAAAAAAAAACCCGGCAGCAAGATTGTGGGTCTTCTGTTGTCTGCCTCTTATAAATTTCACAGAAGTATAATACACGTGCCAGCAGGTATATCTGATGGGCAAGTGGGCCACCAATTGAATAAAAAAACAACTACAAGACGTTAACTTTAATTAGTTCATGTGTACGACTGCAAACATGAAGCCAATGCCACAATTCCATTTGTTTTCCCTCCACTCGCAATCACTGAATTAATTTTTCCCCTATAATTTTCGTTAATTTTATGAATCAGCGTGATTCACAATGCTGTTTCATCATTTGCTCATGCACCCAAAATGTCTCGTGCCTGAAGATAAATATCTCCAGCCCAGTGATTTTAAAAGGGGCCCCCCGAAAAATCCCTGAAAGTTCCACCTGCCCAATTCCCCAGCCCATTCTTTCAGTATTTCGTGTTTTTTTTTATTGTATAGAGAACTGCAGAGGCAGATGATAGCGAACACGAGAGGGCAAAGAAAACGACTTGATGTTTCTTCCCCCCCCCTCTTATCTTTCCCCCATAATGCTGAGGACACCAAGAAGAAACATCTGCCGTTTGGAACGTCTGCTGTTCACAGATATGAGGGCCTCGTGGCACGCTCCACATATACACCTCAACGCACTCGTGCTGCTCCCGAAGGCTCCTCGCCCTCGGGGTGCACCTGGCGCCCCGTCACTTTTTCAACGATGAAAATTTCCCCCTCATGATTCGACTCATTCCAACCGCATATTTCATATTTTACGGTTTTTCCAAGTGTTTTTATAACAGAATACGTCAATAAAAGTTGTTTGCGACAGTTGCTGGATGCTTGTATTTTGCAGTGAAGAAAATTGTCATGCCTCCCGGAAGGAGAATAACGAGGAAGTAAGGGAATTAATAAATGTCTTCCGTCTTGGGGTTAATAAAAGTAAACCGGGAAAACTTTGATACTGGTTAGCCGCAATAACGGAATATGATAAGGCTACTCAATAAATCTGACCATTGATTCAATTGAGAAACTTGTTTGCAGCCAAAGTTTTCTACTTGACCTGTTATTATATGGGTGATATTCTCTTTCAACTACTTTAGCCGGTTTTTAATCAAGAAGGGGAACCGCAATATGGCTTAAATGAAACTTGAGAGTTTTGCACTTGAACATTTTTCGCTGACATTTTCGATAGACTTGTTGGAAACTTTCGTCAAGTGATGGATTCAATGAATTTTCAAAGAGTTACGTAATTGAAAATGCACAAATTGATAAAAAATCAATGATAATCAGTCACATCAATTCTGATATGATATGATGTGACAAATCAATGATAATTGTTACATTTATAGTATTAAAATTTAATACACCTGTTGGACATTTTGATCGAGTGATGGTCTCAGTGAATTTTCAAAAAGTTTCATTATTGAAAATTCACAATGTGATAAAAAATCAATTGAAATCGGGAATTGTCGAATTTATAGTAATAAAATATAATACAATTGTTAGAAAATTTGATCAAGTGATGATTTCACTGAATTTTTCAGAGTTTCGTAATTGAAAATTCACAAATTGATTAAAAAATCAATGATAATCAGCAATTGTCACATTT